GTTTACGACAGCGGTCCGCAGAGAAAGCACTTCTTGTCCAAACCATTGATCAGCAACCTGAAGCATGCCTCGGTTGATCAGTTGGCCTCCACCACCAACATCTCGATAGGCAATAGTTCTACCCCTGTCAAAATCGCTAACATGGCAAATAATTTGGACGTCTTCGAAATCGAGGCATTTTGTTATGCTCAATACTTGTAAATGAAAAGGCAATAACTAAAAACTGTGCTACTCAGCTCTCAGAAACTGCTTTCTTCACAAAAATTTTAACAAAGGTAATCAAAAACAAAGATAAAACGTAAACATTGTTGCCACAGCATGCTTTAAATAGTCATTATGTTGGCAAAAAAATTAGAAGAAATTATTTTTTCTGAGTGTAACGCTTCTAATGTCACTGAGTATATTACACGAACAAAAACAAACTGTGCTGAAATCTTGAGCAGAGATTGAAGAAACATCTACATAAAAATCTAATATTTTTTAATTAGGGATTATAGGCATTAAGTAACATAAAAGATCCATTCAGCTAACGTCAAGAAGAGATACATCTAGCAGAAATACAGGGTGTAAACGTTATGATAGTCGTTATTTAAATGCATGATAGAGCGGGTTAAAAGATGGGGTTTGTTATTTTTGGCTCTTAGGTATTATTTCATTATTTGATAATACTCGTAAAATGCAAACAATTAAAAAAAAACGGACTTACACTAACTGTCTCAGCGCTTCACCTGGTGTGTGAAAGTTTATTGAACGCATTAAGGAAATCCATTTAAATAGGGAACACAATTTTGATACATACATTGTTTTTCTTTTTAAAAACCACACTGCACTTTTTTTGTATTTAAAGGTGTTCAAAATGTCATCCTCCACTTTCCACACAAGCTTCATTACGGCCTTCACGAATGGTATGAGGATTTTCTTGGGCCCACGTGTGAGTATTATGGAAATTTAATATCCCGTCTCGCGTAAAAGTACATTCGTCCGCCGCTAGAATGTTTTAAAAAAAATCCGGATTTTCAATGTGTTTGTGCAAAAAACCACTGACAGAATCTTAGTCTGCGAGGATAGTCTTCTGGTAACAAGGCCTGCACTCGTTGTTACATGGTGGGGATAAAGCAAATTTTCCCGTAGGATTCTATGGACTATGGTATGCGATAGTCCTACGCGGCGGCCTAACTCTCGAGTGCTGATATCTGCATTGATTTCCACGATATTTAAAATTTGTTCCTCCTGCTCTACAGTAACCTGTTTTTCACGAGTGCGAATATTAGTGGGCTGAACACTTCCTGTATCTCGAAGTCTTTGGTATACTTGCACAAATGTCCTTCTGTCTGGGTGTACCTGTTGGCGAAATCTGTCTCGATAAATTTGAGCTGCAAGATTTGAATTCTGACGGGCTTCACCGTAAACTAACAACATGTCGCCGAACTCTTGATTCGAGAACATTGTAAATCAAAACTATGACGTACGCGAACAAAAACATTGCCGGTTCGATAAGAGTGATGATGACCGAAGCGCTGTTGTCATGTGTGTTTTTAAATATTTAATTTAATGAAACTTACTTACTGACTACAAATTTTGGCGTAACTTAGAAAAACTTAATGCCATTTATTTGTTAATTACCCAATTTAAAAACGTTTTAGATTAGATTATAAAAATTAGTAAGATTGTGGTCGATATAAAGCACTTAAAGTTGTAAACTATAAAGCCATTTAGACAAAAATCTATTGACTTTTGGACCATGGGTCATATGAACTTTGTGACTTGTTTTGACTTTTGGACCATGGGTCATATGAACTTTTTGACTCGTTTTTACCCCCCTATTACCCATTTCAATAGTAACTACCATAACGTTTACACCCTGTATATAGATGGGCCAAGGAATACCGGATAGACCGACAGACAGGCAGACCGACGAACATGTGTGGAATGGGTTTTCGTGATGTACGTCCAAAATGGATAATATTACATTTTTGAAACTTAAACTAAAAAGAGAGAGAAAGACTGCTTTAATCGAAGACATTCACTGTGTCTGCTTACATTTTTCTTCCAAACCTAAAACATCTGGCAGCTGAAAACTATTTCTACATATCTCTCACTAATTAGGAACTTCGTCCACCCGTGAACGTGACCTGCCAGCGACGATATTGAAAATACCTTTAAATGAATATCACTGAGGTTGGTAAAATCTATCTTTCATTAGGTGGAATTGTTGGAATTCCTCCTAAAAGCTTCGTGAAGCTGATTCGTTATTAGATTCGTGGAATTTAAAAGCTAGCCTTGCTTTCTTTCCCGAGCTAGATGTGGAATTCACTTAGTCGAAAGTTATCTTCTTTCTCTGGAAACTTGTTTTCACTGCTATGACAGCTGAACATACCGCAGAGGAAAACGCTCTTTGTAGGTCACTTTTCATCAAATCGTCCATTGTAGGTCAGTATACAGGGTGCTTTCTGAATACAGGGTAAACATCCATAAGCTATTAGTTTTTTCATTAACCACGCAAACTGGTGAGGAAATATTGAGAAAAAAATTCAAAAATTAGATACCAATAGGAAAATACCTTATCGAAATGCAATTTGACGGAAGCTGTCAAAGGTCTCAGAATATCAGTGATTTCTATTAAAATGTTGAATAAAATCGTGAAAATTCGACTGTATTATAAACAAGACCACTTTTTGATTCCAACATGATGCTTTTGTACAGAGAAAACAGGACAACTTTCATGTATTTTGATTTATGTTATAGGTGTACATTTGACTATCCGTTATCCCCTCAGCGAATGGGAATGGGAGAAATAATAGTGTCGATTTTCTAGCTGTTAAATTTGGCAGCAGGTTGGTAGTTTGTTAATTCATGGCAATCTCGAAATTTGTTAAGTTCAATATACTGTGTGTATATGTATCATTATAGCTACACTTACCTGTTGAATTGTGCGGATTTGCAAGAAAATAGAATATAAAATGTATTCCAACCAATTCCTCATCTCTCTTTACATCATAATAGTTATCATTGTTATAAATTCATGGGTTAATGAATTTTTTCAAGCAATTAAACAGTATGTCGTCCCCATCCTAAAACACTGATATGTGTAAAACATGTTAATCCCTACATCTCCGAGGTGCATAATGCAATTACTGTAGACATAGACCTAAAATTATAAGTAATTACTGAAAGATAAGAGCTAAACAGAATTATAAATAGTGATAAATATTTTTGTTTAAGGTTTTTGACTGGTGACTGGTGGGGATACAATATAGGGATGGCGACGATAGACGATACATTGATGTATCGAAACATCGATACATCGGACGTAGAACATCGATCTTTACGCATCGATGGTTTCATGACGATATATCGATATCGAGAGGAATCATAAACATCCGTACCCGTATACCCCGAGTCTATCCTTAACTGTGCTACCATCTCTAAGCGAGGACTGGTAGCTCGAAATTGAAAGGCCAGAAAGCTATTTAGGTGTTTAGTAGTATTTGAATATTATCATTACAGATGAGCACTGAGCCACTGAGTGGCCACTGAGCACTGTAGTCTTTTCTTCATTCTGTGCGTCCCCAAGGGATAGTATAAAATAGACTGAAAACAGCGCGTTGATGATTTCAGTTCTCAGAGAAAGATTTCCCCTGCCGGTCCTTGACATCGTTTCGAAATACGCGACACGACATGAGAGTTGTTTAATATTGTTATGGGAGCAACTTTAGGATCAAAGGTATTAACTAAGGTAGAGTATTTTAAACACAAAAACTGCGCTAGTTTTATCAGAAGAAAACACTATATCTCTGAGCCACAAAAGCAACGCGAATCTCAGGCTTTCGATTCTCCCATCACTAGTGTGATGAAATGACAATTTGTCCCTTCTTAGATTACTTGAAAAAGTGATGTGCTTTCCAGTTCATTTCATTAAGTTGCGTTCAGTTCTAGGAACTAGTTCGTGAACCAACTACTTTATGCAACCATACCACAAAAAATATATATACAGAAACACAGCAGATATTCCAGTCTTTCAGTCGAGATAACGTAAAAACGATTCAATTCATATTTTTTAAACCGTTCCAATACATTCCACTGATCGCAAATGTATTCTCCCATCACTAACATTATGAGACACTAATTTCAAATGTCAATTCCGATCTCCTTTGGTCTATTCTCCTTCTCCAACGTCACTACATTCTATGTTTTGTGATCACTTGTTTTGTTATGTGTGAAAGATGGAATTTTTTAACAACAAATTTCCGTATAAAAGTGCTCCCTCCAAGATTTTTTTGTGAAGAAATACATATTACACTGTCGTGTACACGTTAAATCTGCACGAACCCCTAAATACGTGGTTATATTGAATGTACCATCACCGATGGTGCGACTGATTATACACTGAAATTAAAACAAAAGACTGCAACTGCAATTATTGTATGTATGAATGTTGAAACTGTTGAACAGT